GCTAGAGAGGGAACACAAGCAGGGGGAGTGGGAGGAGGGAGAAGCAGGCTCCCTGCTCTGCAGGGAGCCCGATGTGGGGCTCAATCCCAGGACCCTGGGATCGTGACGTGAGCCAAAGGCGGAGGCTGAACAACTGAGCCACCCAGGCACCCCACCGAGGGCATTATAAAGAGAGGATGAGGGAGTCATGCCAGAGGTGAATTAAATCAGAGAAGTAAAAGATTACAAAAAGTGGGAAACGTGAAACCCCCTGGATTTACTCACTGGGAGACAGAGGCCAGACTTTTCATTGTTGGCTGAACAAACCATGGATGCCTTGAGTTTTCTCAGTAGGGACTAAGGGTGACTGGAGTCACCCTAGGGGTGGGGTCTTGAGCTGTTGTTAGGAAGTATGTTAGTGTTTGGGCGAGTCTGCATATGATAAGCCAAGGTTGAGGCCCCTTTGAGAAGAGGGCTCAGAGGAGTCAGGCTAGCGTTTGCTTAAGGAGAGAGTCTTTGTGAGTGTAAAATGGTGTGGTCCTTTGTATGTAGTGTGCATATACCACAATTTTTTCATCTGTTCATCTGATGATCAGGCATGTTGTTGTATCCAATTTTTTGGTCATTGTGAATAGGCTACAATAAACATTCTTAGAGCAGTCTTAAATTTCTCTTGAAATTGCTTAGTGGAATTGCTTAGTCACAGCGAAGGGATATATTGAACTGCTAGACTAATTTCCAAAGTGGTTTATCAGTTTACACTTCCCACCAGCAATACAGTAACACTCCAGTTGCTCAGCATCCTCGTGAACATTCTGTGTTGTCAGTGAGGGTGAAATAGCATCTCATTATGGTTTCACATTGCATTTCCCTGGTGAAGCATGATCTTAGGCACCTTTTCGTGTGTTTCTTGGGCATTCCGACATCTTTTGTGACCTGTCGAACGTTCAAGTCTTCTGCCCGTTTTTGTTGTTAATGTTGTTTTTGGTTTTGACTTATTGGAGTTTATTATATATTCTGAATAGGAATTCTTTGTCATACAGATGTATTTTAAAAATACATGTATAGGAAAATAAAAATTTTAAATACTTAGAGTAGCATCAAAGCACGTAAACTGGTTGGGGTGACTGGCTGGCCCAGTTGATGAATCATCTGTGTTTTGATCTCAGCTCAGGTCTTAAACTCAGGGTTGTGAGTTCAAGCCCTGCACTGGGCTCCATGCTGGGTGTGGAGCCTACTTACACAACAAAAACAACAACCAAAACAACCCCAAACTGGCTGGGAATAAGTCTCATGAAAGACATGAAACACCTTTACACAGAAAAGTAAAAAACTTTGTTGAGAGGAATTCAAGAAGACTGAAATAAATGGGAGCTCTGTTTTGTTCATACATCGGGGAAGATTTGATGTCCTGGAGATTTCTGTTCTCCACGCCTTGATTCATGCAAACAGTGCAATCCCAGTTAAATCCTAGCCATGTTTTTTAGAAGAAATGAACAAGTTGATTCTAAAATGTATATGGAAATGCAAAGGGTCTGGAATAGCCAAAAAAGTCTTCAAAAGAAGAACACAGTTGATGAACTTACACTGCTTCTTCTTGCTTAATTTTAAGACTTAGAGCAAAGCCACAGTAATCCAAGTCTTTGACACAAAGAGAGATCAATGAGCAGAGCAGAGAGTCCAAAAAATAGACCAAACGCAAGTACTGTCGACTGATTTTTGCCCAGAGTGTCCAGTCAGTTCAGTGGTGGAAAGGGAAGTCTTTTTAATGAATAATTCTGTGTGACCTGGACATTCAGGCGGAAAGAAAACGGACCTTGACCCCTCCCTCATTCTGACATACACACATTAATTTGGGATGAATCATAAGCCTAAATATGAAAGCGAGAACCAGCGGCGCCTGGGTGGCTCAGTCGCTTGAGTCCGACTCTTGATTTTGGCTGAGGTCATGATCTCGGGGTCATGAGATTGAGCTCCGTGTGAACCCTGTGTCAGGCTCCACGCTAAGCGAGGAGTCAGCTTGAGATTCTTTCCCTCTCCTGCTCCCCCCTGGGCGCGCTCTCTCTCAAATAAATAAATCTTAAAAAAGGAAAAAGCTAGAACCGTAAAACTTTTGTATGAAAACATGGGAAAATGTCTTGACAACCTTGAGGTAGACAAATGTTTTGTATGCAGAACACAAAAAGTTCTAATTAGAAAGGAAAAATAGATACACTAAGAGAACGAAGAGGCAAGACAGACTGGGAGAAAATATTCAGAATACGTGTTCTTAAATGTTTTATTTTTTCCAAAAGTACTTTAGCATTATTCAGATCCATGGTATCTTATTAGTGTATTCTTTATTAACTGTTTTTTTCTTTTTTCTTTTTTGTTTAAGTCAGATATGAGACATTGTACCGTGGGAAATTTCTGATTGGCTTCTCCTCCTTATTCACCCTCTGGTCAATGTTGGTTCCTTTTCCGTTCATGTCTTGCCCAGTGTTCAGGGACTCCTTGCAGTAGAGACAGTAGATTTTAGATCCTATTGATCCTTGTGAAGTAACTGGCAATTCGATGAAGCCAGAAAGCAATAGCAGTAGCTTCCTTTGGGAGGAAATGATAGCCTGTGAGTCTTAGTCAATTGAGGCCCAGTGTTGTTTTTTGTTTTTTTGTTTTAAGATTTTATTTATTTATTTATTTATTTATTTATTTATTTATTTATTTATTTATTTGAGAGAGCGAGACAGAGTGGAGGGGGGCAGGGGGAGAGGGACAAGCAGAATCTGCACTGAGCGTGGAGCCTGAACACGGGGTTCGATCTCAGGAACCTGAGGTCATGACCTGAGCCGAATCAAGCGTCAGACACTTAAACGCCTGAGCCGCCTAGGCACCCCTGTTTTTCGTGTTTTTTTGTCTTTTGTTTTTGTTTTGTTTTTCTTAGGTGATTAAACACTTAAGGCCTTGCGGATCTGCTGAGGAAAGCAACAGCGCTCACAAGAAGGGAAACAAACTCAAAGTCTGTGTAGGTACAAAGTCTGTTGCGCGTAAGACTTTGCTTCCTGCCTTCCATTTATAAGCAAGAATAAACGCAACAGGAAATAGGAACCCAAAACTGAGACTAGAGGACGTAAAAGAACAACAATAAAATTAAAAATGAGAGGTAGAGCATATCTTCAAGGCCCGTATGCAGCATGCAGTTAAAATTCCCAACTTGAAAACCGATGCTGAGAGTATTGGATTGAGTCTTGCAATTGCAGATATATACATTGTAGGTACATATATATGTACATACAGGGCACCGCATATCTATCTATCTATCTATCTATCTATCTATCTATCTATCTATCTATCTATCTATCTATCTATCTACATGCACTGTGTATCCCTACAGAAGCAGACACACATACACACCGACACCATATCAGCAACTGAAGTGTTGGGGGAGGGATGGAAGTCCAAGTGGGTAAGTAGGTTTGCAAAGCAATGGAATTAAGTTTCCTCCGAGGTTGCACAGCTTGAGGAAACAACCTCGACCTCTGTCTGTAAGCGGTGCCTTCCACAGAGGGTGCTTCTGAGGGCTGTACGTGTTCCTGTTTGTCCAGCGTGTGGAATAATGCCTGGCATTGTAGCCAGCACTCATGAGTGTTGATGAGAAGTGAAATGAAGCAGCCCCAGCCTGGACCCTCACTGGCTGGAAGAGCGGGGAGGGCCCCTTCCCATTCCCTCTGATGGAGAAATATCCGGTGGAGGGCATGTCACACCTTTCCTAGCAAGTTCCCACCGTTGCAGGGGACGCTCCTGCCGAAGGGGCCAAGTCAGTCAGTGCTTCTTGAATGAACTGGTGGCTGCAGCAGATCAGTGTTTCCCACGGGAGGAATGGGAGATGACTTGAGGTGGCACCCAGATAGAAGTTTTACATTTTAATAGGTATTTATTACAGGGTGTGTTAGAAGAAAATATTAGGTAGCACGTCAGACCTGGGTACTAAAAAGAAGTGAAAATTGCAGGGAACACTGGATTGAATAAACCCTGAGAAAAGGTCTTTCTAAATATGGGATCTTTTTTTTCCTTCTTTAAAGATTTTATTTCTTTATTTTGACAGAGACAGTGAGAGCGGGAACACAAGCAGGGGGAGTGGGAGAGGGAGAAGCAGGCTTCCCGCTGAGCGGGGAGCCCGACGCGGGCCTCGATCCCAGGACCCTGGGATCATGACCTGAGTCGAAGGCAGACACTTAACGACTAAGCCACCCAGGCGCCCCTAAATATGACATCTTAAGTCAAGCAGAGAAAGTCACTTATCATATGGTTTTACTTACTTGTGGAACATAAGGAATTGCGTGGACGACTTTAGGAGAAGGAAGGGAAAAATGAAGGGGGCGAGATCGGAGGGGGAGACTAACCATGAGAGACTATGGACTCTGAGAAGCAAACAGAGGGTGTTAGAGGGGAGGGATGTGGGGCGATGCGTTAGCCCGGTGATGGGTATTAAGGAGGGCACGTATTGCATGGAGCCCTGGGTGTTATACGCAAACAATGAATCATGGAACAACTACATGAAAAACTAACCGATGTACTGTATGGTGACCAGCATAGCACAATAAAGAAAAAATAAATAAAGAGATCTTTCATTCTTTGGGTTTTATTTTATCTATTTATTTGTTTAACTTTTTGAGAGCGAGAACACATGTGAACGGTGGTAGGGAGGGGAGGGGAGGGGAGAGAGAAAGATCCCAAGCAGGCTGCACGCCCAGTGCGGAGCCAGACGTGGGGCTCCATGTCAAGACTCTGAGATCACAACCTGAGCCTCAGCCAGGACTCGGTTGCCCAACAGACTGCGCCACCCAGGCGCCCAGATTCACTCTTGATGTGTCCTGCAGTCACTGTGCACCATGTTGGAGTTGTCATTATCTGTGCACGTGGACGTGCTCGGTCTTCCTCGTGGCGTGGCTGGACCGCTGCACCTGCAGCCCCTGGCTGCTTCGGTCCACGTACCATTTAAGGGCCATTTGAAGAAGGAGCGCAAATCCCGATTGCTATTCCAGAACCATCCGTTGAGACCTTCTGACGAGATCAAGAAAGACAGAGGAACACAGCCTACACCTGGAGGGTCGGGAGCTTGGAAAGCAATCTCAGAGCCGGTGATGGCGATCTCTTCAGAAACTCAGCCTCGCCAGTGCCCTTGGCGGCTCGAAGGTCAGTGTTGTGTGGCAACTCACAGATCTCCTGAAAGGGAAGACTTGACCAACTCATGTCACTCATCCTTTCCCTTTTGTTCTGTCCCAAAAGTCTAAAAGGGCTTTTTCATAAACATGAAATGAGAATTGTAAGCAATAAGAAAGACATGGACTAACTGGCAGTGTTTCTTTTTTCTTTTTTCAGTCTTACAATTGATGGTGTCTTAGAATGAAATATGGCCTATGGTTAGTTTAGAAAAATTATAAAACAGAGAGAAATGAAAACACATACAGCCCAGAAATCTCTGAGCTTTCACCTGTTTCTCTGCTGTTCTTCAACCTCCCTGTATACCTTCTGCTACTGGAACATTCCGAGGCGCTTCCTGCCCCCATGCTGTTGTCCTTCATCTGGCATAAGCTCTGACTTCTCTGTGTCTCTGTCGCTGTGTCTTCCCGGGTTCCCCACTGTATCCCCAGTGCCTGGCACTTAGCAGACACTCAACAAGTATTGCTTGACTGGATCAAGAGTGTTAAACTGAGGGCGAGCACAGAAGCTGCTCCTTGTCATCCAGGAGAGGGCAGTAGGAAGGACAGGGAGGAGCTCCTAGAGGAAGGCGGCTTGGTCAGCTTTTCAGCAGGTAGAGCTGCTCAGCGGGGGAGCGAGTGCCTCCGTGGTGGGGCGTGCTCAGGCAGTAGCTCGGTGTTGTTGAAGGGTGCTTGCCCTGCATGTCAGGGTCGACCAGGTCATTTGGAAGGCCCCTTCCAACCAGACATCCATGTTTGCGGACTCTTCTCCCGGGTCTGTGGTTCTTTCTCGACTGCAGATAGGGCTTTTACCACTGGATGGCACCAGATGAAGGCTGTGAGGACAGTGCTCATCCAACCACCCACAGTGAGAACACAGTTTTTTCTCTTTTCATTATGGAAGTTTCGTTGATCTGTACAATGTTATGTCAGTTTCAGGTGTGCAGCATCGTGATTCGACAAGTTTGCTCATTACTCAGCACTCACCACGATTAAGTATAGTCACCATCTGTCACGGTACAGTTGTTATGACAATATTCTTGGACTATATTCCGGATGTTGTACTTTTCATCTTTGTGAGTTATTTATATAAGTGGAAGCTTGTAACTCTGAATTCCTTTGACCAATTTCGCCCCCCCCCTTTCCGTCTGGCAACCATCAGTTTGCTCTCGGTGTTTAAGGGTCTATTTTTTTTGTTGGTGTAGAGAACAGATTTTTCATGGCACTTATACCCCAAACACACACTTCAACAACTTCACAGAAACAGTCTTTAACTCGTACAGTATGTAACGCATACTGATTTTTTCTAGTTTACTCTAGCTGACTGCATTTTCTAAGACGGGGATTTGCAAACTATTACACTGATTTTATGACACGGATGGGTCACAATCCACTGTTTGAAAAGCACTGTTTTAGACAACGCAGCCTGTTCAGCCTTGTAAAACTCTGTGGGTCAGTTTTCCTTGACAGTCTGGGCTGTAGCAAGTTGTGTGTCTTAGTGAGTACTTGGTGTGTTTCTGTGTTGAGCTGCTGCCTTGAGCAGCAGTAGGTATGTGCTTCCTTATGGGTGTCTGTGGATGTGGGAATATGGACGTGGGAGATGGCGGGGGGCGTGTTTGTACAGGATTAGCACCTACTGTAGTCCAGGCAGCGGTAAGCCTTGTCAGTGGATATGAAGAGAAGATATATTATCTGTCTGCTTCTGGGAGCTCAGAACCCAGCTGGGTGACATCACATACACATACACACACACACACGAGCGTGCACACCCCCCCACACACACACCCCCTCCCCTCCCCCCCACACCCCCTACCCCTTTCAGCTTACTCATCAAGCAAATGGAAATGAACTGATGCGCTCAGAATACCACTTAGGACATTCCAGGGTGTAACAGAAGACCAACTCCATTTGGTTTATTTATTACTTTTTTTAATGTAAATTCAATTAGCCAACTTACAGTACATCATTAGATTCAGATGTCGTGTTCAGTAGTTTGTCAGTTTCATATAACACCCAGTGCTCATCACATCACATGCCCTCCTTAGTGCCCATCACCGAATTACTCCATCCCCCCACCCACCACCCCTCCAGCAACCCTCCCGTTTGTTTGCTAGAGTTAAGACTCTCTTACGGTTTTTCTCCATCGCTGATGACTTCCCATTCTGTTTTCCTTCCCTTCCCCTACAGTCCTCTGCCCTGTTTCTTATATTGCACATATGAGTGAAACCATTTGATATTTGACTTTCTCGGATTGACTTATTTCGCTCAGCATAATACCCTCCAGTTCCATCCGTGTGCATGTAAATGGTAAGTATTCATCTTGTCTGATGGCTGGGTAATAGTCCATTGTGTGTATGTGTGTATATATATACACACATACACACATATATATATGTGTATATATATATATACACATACACACACACATATATATATACCATATCTTCTTTATCCATTCATCTGATAAGACATTTCCCAAGGCCGACTCTGGCCACCGGTCCCGGTCCCAGCCGCTCAGCCCCACGACTTCCCACGCAGGGCTGGGCCCCTTCCCCTGTTCCCCGCTTCCTGGCTGTCCTGGGTGGGCCCCTAGCGAGTGCTCCTGCCTGACTGCCCCCAGGTGCCCGCCCACAGAAAATGCATCTGGCCCTGGACTTTCCCCCAGGAAATGCATGCAATGCATGCAATGCATCCATTCACCTAGGAGAGCAGATCCTAGGTGCATTTGACAAATATCTACACCTGCGCAGAGGCACGGCCCTCAAGGAGACTTTGGGCATTTCCAGCCTCCAGAGGCTCCAGAGTGTTCCGTCCTTCCGTGCCCTGCCAGCTCTGCGGGGACAGTGCGTCCCACACCGGGGTTTGGCGGTTCACCGGTGGCTCCGTGCGCTGCGCGCATCCGCTGCCTCGCGGAGGTGTGCGGCTGGACCCGGCAGGGGGTCGCGGGCGGCGGTGGCGGTGCCCGAGAGGGGGCCTCCGGGCCCTGCACAGGGCGGCCCCGGGGTTCCCGCCCTGGGTGGAGGACGGGCTGGGTACCGCGTCCCGGGTCTGGCCTCCCAAGGCCCCGACCTGCCGCGCCACTGGATGAGAGGCGGCGAGGGGGGGGCGCCGGGCCCACAGCCGCTTCCACTGCCGCCTCGGGTGGACATGAAGCGACGTCGGCCCCCCTCCCCCCGGGCGATTCCTCGAGCTGCCCGGCCCTGGCCGTGCCGGCCCCCGCCGCCGCCGCCAGCAAGAAGCAATCCAGCTGCATGAAGCAGCTGACCAACCAGACCGTGGGCAGGCGAGCGCGTCGATCCGGATCGGCAGGAGCCCAGACCAGGCTCGGGCGCGGGAGGGCCGGCTGCTCTCCTGGTCGCGCGCTCTGTCCCTTGCCGCCGCCCCACATCAGGCCTCGGGGTCTGGGCCTGGGGCTGCGCCACGCCAAGACCTGGAGCCCGGCTCGGTGCCGCTGCCCGAGCCCCTGGGGAGCAGCTGGGTGGGTCGGCTGTCCCCGTCGCCCTCTGTCCAGGCCCCACCCAGCATCGCCCTCGGCGCACTGGACCCGAGCCTTCCCCTGCCCTCCCCCGGGCTTTGCCCTGGCTGAAAACTCCGGGAACCAGTGAGCCCCAGGCCGAGCGGACGCTGTGCTCTGCGGGCGATGGCCTCAGGCTTTCCGGGTCGCCCCGCCGCTGCAGACCCTCCACCTCCCAGTGCCTCATGGCACTAAATAAGTAAGGGGCCATCAGAGCCCATCGGATCCGCCTACGAGGTTCGGGCGTCCATCCAGGCACTGTAGAGGTGCCGCTGTCTCCAAAGCCGGGCCCCTGTGGACCGGACTGCCCAAGACCTTGACATTGAGAAATTGGGAACTGCGAGGAAAGAATTGTGGAAACGCCTTGGGACGACTTTTAGTTTAATTTTGAATAGCTTTTGAAAAAGCCTTTCTCCCTTTGGATTTGGGAGCCGATTCTTCTCCAGGTTTCTTTGGGGCTGCTTTAATGCTTGACAGGAAACATGATCGATTATGAAATGACAGAACAGACCGGAATTGGTAGACCATCAGGCTGCTGCAACAGGAACGACGGGTGGTTCTGAGAGCTCCTGCAGGTGACTGTCATGTGCCCCGTTATCTGGGGCACATCTTTCAACGTCTTTGGGGCAGGTGGCTGTACTGGACCTACTCTTTAGGCTGGCAGACATATGAAAGTGTGAGTTTTCCACAGCTTTTGCTTCTTTTTTTCCCCAATAGTGGGGTCAAAAGGGGAGTTCAGTCTGACCAAAGCACGTGTGTGCATGGCACGTCCATCCTGTGTGTTCTCCATTCATAGAGCATTGCAGGGCCACGTGCTCGTCCCAAGATCGAGGACCTTGTGAGCAACCCCACAGTGAGGTTCGGTGGTGCTGTGCGGCTTTCTCGTGACTATCATTGGAAAGTCGACCTCAGAATACTTACCTGGGAGAAGATCTTCATCCTGAGGACAAATACACAGTACGTTTTCTAATTCTGCATTCCCTCATACATTGACCGACCATCTTCATGGACTGAACACTAGGCCCCAAACAGCAAAGGTGGACTTAGCGCCTTAAATTACGAACACTATGGTCAGAAATGTATTTTTTAGGTGACTTTGGTCTCCGCATGGAGAACGGACGGAGGACAAAAGTTAGGAGGATCTCACAGCCATCCAGGAAGAAGGTCCAGGGAAGAAGTCATGGGGAGCCTGAACTGGGGCAGCCGCCACGGGGATGGACACTGAGAGGTGGGGACGCACTGAGAGGTGCTGGGGAAGTAGAACCTAACAGACTTTTCCAAAACCCAGACTGAGACAGATTAGGGAGGGTCAGGAAACCACTGTGGGGGGGGGGCGGGGGGGGAACCAGCATTTAGGGGATCAAATAGGATACAAGAGCAAATATCACAAAGCACCCCACACTGTGAGGGCGAGCACCAGCTTGTGGTACTACTACTTTTTCTGTGAGAGGAGAGCACGGTGGGGGGAAAGGGCCGGCACTCTGGAGCCGGGGAATGGGCTTCCGATCCCAGCTCCACCACGTGTCTGCTGTGAGGCGCTGGAAGTCACTCACCTCCCCGGGCCAAGCGTTCCTCGTCTGCACAGTAGAGAAAGTGATAGCACCTCACGGGGTTGTGAGGATTCCTGAGGAAATACATACACGGGAGACTCTCCCAGCAGGACCTGCCCTAGTAAGCGCCGTGGCTGTGCCTTTATGACTTATGACACGGGACACAGACGTGGGGCCTGAGGTACACACACACCGTGAATCGACAGACCGCAAAGATTCCCCTGAACAAGCACAAGGCCCTGTGTAGAGAACAGGGAAGGAACCCGGACTTGCAGGAGCTGCAGTCCTATTGTCCTGGTTCTGCCACTAACCAGACCCGTCGCCTTTCCCGTCAATGAGCGTAGTTACATACACCTGTTCTTGCCCCCTAACAGAGCAGGTGAGGGACCAAATCAGGGAACAGCTACAAAAGGCCTTTGTTTCATATCACCATCACCCAGCCTTGCACATCCTCAAACCGTACCGAGGACACTGTCATGACGACCATAAAATCATCGTTATCAGACATGGATGGAACTGGAGGGTGTTATGCTGAGCGAAATCAGTCAATCAGAGAAAGACATGTATCGTATGACCTCACTGATACGAAGAATTCTTAATCTCAGGAAACAAACTCAGGGTTGCTGGAGTGGTGGGGGGTGGGAGGGATGGGGTGGCTGGGTGATAAGGCATTGGGGAGGGTATGTGCTATGGTGAGCGCTGTGAATTGTGTAAGACTGTTGCATCACAGATCTGTACGTCTGAAAGAAATAATACATTATATGTTAAAAAAAAAAAGAAGATAGCAGGAGGGGAAGAATGAAGGTGGGGAAATGGGAGGGGGAGATGAACCATGAGAGACTATGGACTCTGAAAAACAAACTGAGGGTTCTAGAGGAGAGCGAGGTGAGAGGATGGTGTAGCCTGGTGATGGATATTGGGGAAGGCACGTTCTGCACGGAGCACTGGGTGTGATGCACAAACAATGAATCACGGAACGCTACATCAAAAACTAATGGTGTAATGAATGGTGAGTAACATAACATAATAAAAAAGGAAACCTCTTCCTTATCGTCAATATGGCAGATGCAGGGGCTCTGGGTCTCACAATTCCACTGGCAGGGCTCTTCCACACGTGCTGAGGACATGTCTACAAGGACTTTTTTTTATCATAACCCCTGTTGCAACAGCAAAGGATGGGAAGCCAGGCACCTATCCTTCAGCGAGGCCCTGGGGACATCACGTATGTGGCTGAGGGTGGCAGCAGGTGCAAGCAGCTGGGGACAGGGGCGCGAGACAGGCAGTCACTGCATTCCTTCTGAATATATTTTTAACATTTTTGAACCAGGCGGGCACCTTCACGAATGAAACAATTCGGGAAAGAAGAAGGGGAATTTTCATTTACCTTTAATCTCCAGAAGGTGGTATCTACCCCAGCCCCAAGATTTAGAATTTGATAATGACATTCTGTCTTCCGTAGAAATGCCTTCAGCAGCTGGCTGATGCCATGGACTCGAGCAAAATATCCCGAGAGACAGAGACAAGCTATCGCTCAGTCAGGTTGGAAATCATCCCTGCAGAGCCCAGCCCAGGAGAAGAGCCAATGAGGACTCTTCTGCTCTTCTTTGGGGTCAGCGGTTTATCTGTGGACTTCATGGGAGAAAGAGTGACTTTCACATTCTCTTGTTTTTTGTTTTCGGTTATGTTAATCACCATATAGTGCTTCAGTAGTTTTTGATACAGCGTTCCATGATTCATGATTTGCGTGTAACACCCAGTTTTTTTTTTTTAAAAAGCTGTTTGAACTCAAGTAAGTACAATCTACTTGATGGTGGAATTAACCATCTTAAAAAAAAAAAAAGTCCCATAATTTTACATAAGAAAGACAAGGGTTTTACATGAAAAATCAGATCTAAATGTTCCTCTTGGAAATGTACTTTCTCTTGGTTAGGTGTAAGCCTCTCAAGACTCTGTGAAAACTCAACAATGCGAGATCATGACGAAAATAAGATTCTGGGGTCAGGAAATGGGGCAGATAAATGTCAAAGCAAAAAAAAAAAAAAAAAAAGAAAAGAAAAGCCGTATTTCCACCACGTTCCCTTCCTCTCCATCCTGTGTGGGTAAGAGCCCCTGTTTATAAAGTGGCCTCATAGACCGTCTGCGGGAGGGGAAGGCATGAGCAAACGTTGCCGAATAAATGGACTGGTTCAGCTGTGGGTTGGGGAGCTGGAGTGAAGGCGATGAGGAATAAAAGGGGGGAAAATGGAAAACAGTATCTGTTCTAAGTGGGGGAAATGGAAGATAATATCTGTTCTAAAGCCCTGTTGCTTAAAGTATAACTACTTTAAGAACAAAATTTCAGTAGCATTTAGAAACTTACTGCAATGTGACATAGGAATTCTACGTCTATTGATTCTCCTCATAAATAACTTGAGCTTCTATTTGATGTGTCTCTTGCATTTTATCTTTCTAGGAAATCATTTTTCATGTATGTTATAGAATATCGTCCACAACAGAGAGATTATTGGAACAAAACTTTAAAGATGCTCACCACATGTTGCCTGGGAAGCCCTCTCCTAGGGGGTCCGGTCTGGAGATGCCAGCCCATGCAGAGGAAGAAGGAAGGAAGGCCGGCTGACACCCTGCCTGGGGCGTCTAGCTCCCAGGGCCCCAACTTGGGTTCCCACCTCTGTAGCCCTGGTTAGGAAAGCTGCCTCAGGAGCCTGGGAGAGAGGATTTCAGGCCTCTTAGCCAGGCCTGGCCCCATCTCCCTGATGCCTGGGTTCACCCTCAGCTCCAAGTAAGGTCCATGTCCTTATTCTCAGGAACCACCACTTTGCACTTTCTTTCCATTTCTTACAGAATCTACCCATAGGCTCCATCTTTAGGGTGAGGATTCCCTGCATGCCCAAGGACTGTGGTCATTTGGTCACTTTCTCAATCTGACTAAGTCACCCTCCCATCTCAAATCCCTTCACTGCCTTGATAGAAAGGACTTCAGAGCCTAACAGTGTTACTATCATTTTACTAAGGTCAAGAAAGGAATTCCTTACTTGACCAGACAGTTCACTGTAAAAGATAATATAAATGGCTCTTAAACATATAAAAACGATCTTCAACTTCACCCCCCAAAATAAGAGGAATATAAAATAAAATGACGGGGGCACCCGGGTGGCTCAGTCGTTAAGCCTCTGCCTTTGGCTCAGGTCATGATCCCAGGGTCCTGGGTTCGAGCCCCACTTCGGGCTCCCTGCTCCTCGGGAAGCCTGCTTGTGTTCCATCTCTCACTGTGTCTCTCTCTGTCAAATAAAGAAAGAAAATCGGTAAAAAAAATTATACAGTAACATTACTGAAGACACCATCTTTCACATATCAGATTAACCACGATGAAAAGGTTTCTAATACACCGTGCTGGTGAGGATGTTGGGAAATGAGCACTTCCATTCGCCACTGGAGAGAATGAACACTGGAACTCCCTCTTTTGAAGAGTGAATCCCTAAAAGCTCATCTACCTCAAAAGGCCAACAGAGGCACGTCTGGTACTCCATTACAAATGTCGGCAGACTCAGCCATCCGTCTTGGTGCTCGCACACATGGCCCGTCACCGTCCCCACGGCAGCCATTTCTTCCCTTTCTTTACTCGTGCGCCTACCTCCTTCCCCAAGACCCTAGACAGCACAGAACCTCACCTCATCCCTCACCTAGAAAACCTGCCACCACTTATTCCCTCAGCAAACCCACGGGTGAGAGCCAGTCAGAGAACTCTGCTCGACCGGAAGTTCTGTGTCCATAGGAAAGGAGATCCAGGATCGTTCCGGAAAACTCACGAACGACTACCTAAGTATTTCCCCCGGCTCTGGATTAGGAACCGGTCCTTCCACACCCTTTAAGCAAGTCCTAGTGGGAAAACCAGGAACAAAGAAACACAACAGCCACAACCTAGAAAATGTTATAGTAGCCTTCACTTTCTGGTCTACACTATAACCTGGAAAATGCTATGGTAGCCTAAACTCTCCCCGGTCTACACTACAAGGAACCAAACTTTCAGTGTTCTAAACCAGGGAGCTGAAGCCCAGATTACCACTGAAGGGCTTCTGACAACCGTTGAGGGAACCAGCCTTAGGACAAGGAGAAGTACTGGAAGGACACTGCATCCCTAAAACCATGCGAAGCCCCTGTGGGCCTATAGCCTGCTCTGCCCCTCATCGGATAATGTGAATTAATAAATGCCCCTCATGTGAATTAATAAATGTCTTTACCATTTCAACCAAATGGAGGGGCAGCTGGGTGGCTCAGTCAGTTGAACGGCCAACTCTTGGTTTAGGCTCAGCTCAATTGTGTCCATATCAATTAGATCTATGGCAGAGAGTACATCCTCCGGTTCTTTCTTTTGTTGTGAATTCCTCCTTCTATTCCTTTTGCCCAGAGAAGAATGGAGGAACAAGAGAGCAACATAAAAAATATCAACCACGACGCAAGCAAATACACACTAGTCAAATCCGAAGAGGTCAGAAACCAAAAAAGAGAAGAAAAAAGAAATGTGGGGGGTGGCTGGGGGGTGGGAGAAGAGAGAATATTATCTCCCAGGTGGTCAAACCTCCATGAAATCCTGGGTGTATTTTGGCCTGTTTGTTAAAAGACACTAAATCCCAGAAGTGTAAAATCACCAAGGTTACATATATACAGACATAAAATTGAATGTAGCAGAAGGAAGCAAAACTGAAGACTATCTCTAAAAAATGGAAATGTAGAAAATGACAATCAAAAACGACTTAAAATGAAAGAGTTGATAAAATAAGAAACTAGTTGGGAAGAAAAAAAGAAAAGGAAAATTTTAAACTGCAAGATAAACGAATCATGAAATAACCTTTGAATTCAATTTACTGTTTTCCCCTAGTGCTGGAGTTTTGCACTCCTGTGGGCTCCTAAACTTCTTCCCCTGTTCTTCCAGCTGCTTTGCTCGGGGAGTGGCCTGCTGTGCTGACCCTCAGGTGTCTTGGCCTGGGGGGAGTTGTACCCCCCCTTGCAGGGGGGGGGGGGGGGGCGGGCTCAGTGTAAACTGCTTGTAGTTGCTCTATGTGATTCTATTCCCCGAAGGCTCTCTGGGCCACTTGAGAGGATGAAAAGAAAAATGGCCACGCCCCGATTTCAAAGCCCGGAGCGAAAAGATCGAGGTCCCCTCTCTTCAGTAAACTGTCAGGGATAAGCGGTCTTCAGTTTTGTGTGTGCCAAAGTCTGCAGGCTCCTGTGGTGAGGGCCTGCACCGATCCTCCTGGGAGAAGGCAGAGGGGCGCCGCCTTGTCTGCCCTGTGCAGGACCCGCATACAATAGCTGTCACCCAGATGAGCCGTGGTTCGTGGTTTATGGCAAACTGAGTTGAGAACCCCCCCTGCTCCCTGACCCTAACCAGTTTCCCCACTCCAGTGCCTGGGAACTCTGCCGGCTCAAGCACCCCTGTTCTTCCTGTGACCCCAGGGATCCTGAGGTCACACTGTCCCACCTTGGATGCTGCCCCACCTTGCCACCAGAGCACCTTTCAGGCAGGGCTATCTCTTAGCGGAGAAGATTTCTAAAGGTTCTGATTTTGCGCTCTGGGGCTGTATCACTTGCCTGTGGCCGGCTTACACAGGCTCCCTCTCCCCGCAGAGGATCTTCCCATATATCCCCGCAGATTCACTTCTCCGCACCTCTTACTTTGCAAAAAGTGGTCACTTGTCTATTAGTAGAATTCCAGCAATTCCTTCCTTACATCTCAGGTTGAATTCAGAGGTGTCCAGGATGATTTGATAGTTATCTAGCTACATTCAAGGGACCAGATGAAACGAGCTCCCCTACCGTGCCACCATCTTGCCTCCCTCCTTCGATCTCTTCCTTTTGTTTTGAAAGATTTATTTATTTTAGAGAGTGAGCGGGGGAAGGGGCAGAGGGAAAGAAAAATCCTGAAGCAAGCAGACTCCCCGCTGAGGAGTTACTGCAGGCCCTGAGGAGAAAGAGAGAGAGAGAAAGAGGGACAGAAGGTATATATGAACAAATCATAGCTGAGAACTTTCCTAATCTGGGGAAGGATACAGGCATACAAGTTCAAGAGGTAGAGAGAACCCGTTTCCAAATCAATAAAAATATATCAGCACCCTGACATACAGTAGCGAAGCTTGCAAATTTCAGAAATAAAGAGAAAATCCGGAAAGCATCTCAAGACAAGAGGTTCCTGACCTAGACGGGTAGGAACATTAGGCTGGCAGCAGACCTATCCACAGAGATCTGGGAGGCCAGAAAGGGCTGACATCATCTATTCAGGGTACTAAATGAGAAAAACATACAGCCAAGAATACTTTCTCCAGCAAGGCTGTCATTCAGAATGGAAGGAGAGCTAAAGGGCTTCCTGGACAAATAGAAACTGAAAGACTATGGGACCACTAAACGAGCCCTGCAAGAAATACTAAAGGGGGGGACGCTTGGGTGGCTCAGTCGGCTAAGCATCTGCCTTCAGATCAGGTCATGATCCCAGGGTCCTGGGATCGAGCCCCGCACTGGGCTCCCTGCTCCGCGGGAAGCCTGCTTCTTCCTCTCCTACTCCCCCTGCTTGTGTTCCCTCTCTCGCTGTGTCTCTCTCTGTCAAATAAATAAAATCTTAAAAAAAAAAAAAAGAAAGAAAGAAATACTAAAAGGGATCCTCTATGCCAAGAGAGAGCCCAAAAGTAACACTGGACCAGAAAGAAAAAGATCTACAGAAACAGGGACTATACAGGTAATACAACGGTACTAAACTCATCTCTCTCAATAGTTACTCGGAATCTAAATGGGCTAAATGCTCCAATCAAAAGACACAGGGTAGGGGCGCCTGGGGGGCTCAGATGGTTAAGCGTCTGGCTTCGGCTCAGGTCATGATCCCAGGGTCCTGGGATCGAGCCCCGCATCGGGCTCCTGGCTCAGCGGGGAGCCTGCTTCTCCCCCTCTCCCTCTGCCTCTCTCCCTGCTCATGCTCTCTCTCGCTCTCTCTCTCTCTCCCTGTATCTCTGTGTCTCAAATGAATAAATAAAATCTTCAAAAAAAAAGTCATCATTTAAAAAAAAAAAAAAGACACAGGGTATCCGACTGCATAAAAAAGCAAGACCCATCCATATGCTATCTACAAGAGACTCATTGTAGAACTAAAGACACCTCCAGATCGAAAGTGAGGGGGTAGAGATCCATTGATCACGCGAATGGACCTCAAAAGAAAGCTGGGGTAGCAATCCTCCTATCAGACAAATTAGATTTTAAACCAAAGACTGTATTAGGGGATGAAGAAGGATGCTATATCATACTTCAAGGGCCTACCCAACGAGAAGATCTAACAATTATAAATATATATGCTCCTAACTTGAGCAGCCAATTACATAAACCAATTAAGAACCAAATGAAGGAAACACGACGAGAATCATACAATAACTGTAGGGGACTTCAACACCCCACTCCCAGCAATGCACAGATCATCTAAGCAGATGATCAACAAGGAAACAAGGGCTCTGAATGACACACTGGACCAGATGGACTTCACAGGTACATCACAGCATGCCATCCTAAAGCAACAGAATACACATTCTTCTACAGGGCACATGGAACATTCTCCAGAAGAGATCCCATACCGGGGCACAAATCAGGTCTCAACCGATACCAAAAGATTGGGATTATTCCCTGCCTCTTTTCAGACCACTATGCTTTGAAACAGGAACTCAGTCACAACAGGAAATAGGGAAGGAACTCAAACACTCGGAGGCTAAAGAGCATCCTACGAAAGAATGAATGCATCAACCAGGAAATCAAAGAAGAATTAAAGATTTCATGGAAATGAATGAAACTGAAAACACAGCCGTTCAAAACCTTTGGGATCCAGCAAAGGCGGTCCTAAGAGGAAAGTACATAGCAATACAAGCTTTCCTCAAAAAATCAGAAAGTCTCCAATACACAAGCTAACCTTACGCCCAAAGGAGCCGGAGAATGAACAGCAACTAAAGCCGAAACCAAGCAGGAGAAGAGAAATTATAGAGATTAGAGCAGAAAACAATGAAATAGAAACCAGAAGAACAGTAGAACAATCAATGAAACCAGGAGCCGGTTCTTTGAAATTATTAATAAGCTTGATGAACCTCAAGCCACACTTATCCAAAAGAAAGGGGAAAGGACCCAAAATAATAATGTCATGAATGAAAGAGGAGAGATCACAACCAACACCAAAGAAACACAAACCATCTTAAGAACACACACAGCAACTATAGGACAACAAATGAGGTCACCTGAAAGAAATGGATGCGTTCCTGGAAACTTGTAAGCCACCAAAACTGAATCAGGAAGAAATACAAAACCTGAACAGACCCATAACCAGCAAGGAAACTGAAGCAGTGATCAAAAAATCTACCAACACACAAGAGTCCAGGGCCACATGGCTTCCCAGGGGCATTCCACCAAACATTCAAAGAAAAACTAATACCTATTCTTCTGAGGCTGTTTCAAAAAACAGAAATGGAAGGAAAACTTCCAAACTTGTTCTCTAAGGCCAGCATGACCTTGATCCCAAAAACAGACAAAGACCCCATGGATGCAAAAATTCTCAGCACAATACTAGCGCATAGGATCCAACAGCACATTAAAAGGAGTATTCACCGTGACGAAGTGGGATTTATTCCTGGGCTCTAAGGGTGGTTCCACATTCGCAAATCAAATCAATGTGATACTTCACATTAATAAAAGAAAGGTCAAGATCCGTATGATCCTCTCAACGGATGCAGAAAAAGCACCGGACAAAATGCAGCATCCTTTCTTGATTAAAACTCTCCACAGTATAGGGGTAGAGGGGATATACCTCAATAACATAAAACCCATCTATGAAAAGCCCACAGCGAATATCATTCTCAATGGGGAAACACGGAGACCTTTTCCTCTAAGGTCAGGAACATGACAGGGAGGCCCACTCTCACCGCAGTTCTTCAACTAGAGAAGTCCTAGCCTCAGCAATCAGAAAACAACAAAAAAGAAATCAAAGGCATCCGACTGAGCAAAGAAGTCAAACTCTCACTCTTTGCAGATGACATGATACTTTATGTGGAAAACCCAAAACACCACCCCAAAATTGCTAGAACTCATACAAGAATTCAGCAGGATATAAAATCAATGCACAGAAATGAGTTGCATTTCCATACACTAACAATGAGACAGAAGAACGAGAAATGAAGGAATCGATCCCATTTACAAATGCACTGAAACCCATAAGATACCTAAGAATAAACCTAACCAAAGACGTAAAGGATCTGTACTCCAAAAACTACACAACACTTAGCAAAGAAATTGAGGAAGACACAAAGAAATGAAACAACGTTCCATGCTCATGGATTGGAAAAACACTGTTAAAATGTCTACACAGAGTAATCGAACCATTCGATGAGATCCCCATCAAAATACCATCAACTTTTTTCACAGACTGTAACAAATCATCCTAAAATGTGTATGGAACCAGAGAAGACCCCGAATGGCCAGAGGAATGTTGATAACGAAAACCAAAGCTAGTGGCATCACAATGCCAGACTTCAAGCTAGAGTACAAAGCTGTAATCATCAAGACAGTATGGTTCTGGCACAAAAACAGACACATGGATCAACGGAACAGAAGACAGAACCCAGAAATGGACCCTCAACTCTATGGTCAACTAATCTTCGACAAAGCAGGAAAGAATATCCAGTGGAAAAAGGACAGTCTCTTCAATAAATGGTACTGGGAAAACTGGACAGCCACATGTAGAAGAATAAAACGGGACCATTTTTTGGCACCATACACAAAGATAAACTCAAGATGGATGGAAGACCTTACTGTGAGACAGGAATCCATCAAAATCCTAGAGGAGAACACAGGCAGGAAGTTCTTCGACCTCAACCGCAGCGACTACTTGCTACATACATCTACAAAGGCGAGGGAGCAAAAGCAAAAATGAACTATTGCAACTTCATCAAGAGAAAAAGCTTCTGCACAGCAAAGGAAAAGGTCCGCAAAACTAAAAGGCAACCTACGGAATGGGAGAAGATATTTGCAAATGTCTTATCAGATGAATGGATAAAGAAGATGTGGTATATATATATATGTGTGTGTGTGTATGTGTGTGTATATATATACACATATATATATGTGTGTATATATACACACACATACACACAATGGACTATTACCCAGCCAACAGACAAGATGAATACTTACCATTTACATGCACACGGATGGAACTGGAGGGTATTATGCTGAGCGAAATAAGTCAATCCGAGAAAGTCAAATATCAAATGGTTTCACTCATATGTGCAATATAAGAAACAGGGCAGAGGACTGTAGGGGAAGGGAAGGAAAACAGAATGGGAAGTCATCAGCGATGGAGAAAAACCGTAAGAGACTCTTAACTCTAGCAAACAAACGGGAGGGTTGCTGGAGGGGTGGTGGGTGGGGGGATGGAGTAATTCGGTGATGGGCACTAAGGAGGGCATGTGATGTGATGAGCACTGGGTGTTATATGAAACTGACAAACTACTGAACACGACATCTGAATCTAATGATGTACTGTAAGTTGGCTAATTGAATTTACATTAAAAAAAGTAATAAATAAACCAAATGGAGTTGGTCTTCTGTTACACCCTGAAATGTCCTAAGTGGTATTCTGAGCGCATCAGTTCATTTCCATTTGCTTGATGAGTAAGCTGAAAGGGGTAGGGGGTGTGGGGGGGGGTGTGCACGCTCGTGTGTGTGTGTGTATGTGTATGTGATGTCACCCAGCTGGGTTCTGAGCTCCCAGAAGCAGACAGATAATATATCTTCTCTTCATATCCACTGACAAGGCTTACCGCTGCCTGGACTACAGTAGGTGCTAATCCTGTACAAACACGCCCCCCGCCATCTCCCACGTCCATATTCCCACATCCACAGACACCCATAAGGAAGCACATACCTACTGCTGCTCAAGGCAGCAGCTCAACACAGAAACACACCAAGTACTCACTAAGGGACACAACTTGCTACAGCCCAGACTGTCAAGGAAAACTGACCCACAGAGTTTTACAAGGCTGAACAGGCTGCGTTGTCTAAAACAGTGCTTTTCAAACAGTGGATTGTGACCCATCCGTGTCATAAAATCAGTGTAATAGTTTGCAAATCCCCGTCTTAGAAAATGCAGTCAGCTAGAGTAAACTAGAAAAAATCAGTATGCGTTACATACTGTACGAGTTAAAGACTGTTTCTGTGAAGTTGTTGAAGTGTGTGTTTGGGGTATAAGTGCCATGAAAAATCTGTTCTCTACACCAACAAAAAAAATAGACCCTTAAACACCGAGAGCAAACTGATGGTTGCCAGACGGAAAGGGGGGGGGCGAAATTGGTCAAAGGAATTCAGAGTTACAAGCTTCCACTTATATAAATAACTCACAAAGATGAAAAGTACAACATCCGGAATATAGTCCAAGAATATTGTCATAACAACTGTACCGTGACAGATGGTGACTATACTTAATCGTGGTGAGTGCTGAGTAATGAACAAACTTGTCGAATCACGATGCTGCACACCTGAAACTGACATAACATTGTACAGATCAACGAAACTTCCATAATGAAAAGAGAAAAAACTGTGTTCTCACTGTGGGTGGTTGGATGAGCACTGTCCTCACAGCCTTCATCTGGTGCCATCCAGTGGTAAAAGCCCTATCTGCAGTCGAGAAAGAACCACAGACCCGGGAGAAGAGTCCGCAAACATGGATGTCTGGTTGGAAGGGGCCTTCCAAATGACCTGGTCGACCCTGACATGCAGGGCAAGCACCCTTCAACAACACCGAGCTACTGCCTGAGCACGCCCCACCACGGAGGCACTCGCTCCCCCGCTGAGCAGCTCTACCTGCTGAAAAGCTGACCAAGCCGCCTTCCTCTAGGAGCTCCTCCCTGTCCTTCCTACTGCCCTCTCCTGGATGACAAGGAGCAGCTTCTGTGCTCGCCCTCAGTTTAACACTCTTGATCCAGTCAAGCAATACTTGTTGAGTGTCTGCTAAGTGCCAGGCACTGGGGATACAGTGGGGAACCCGGGAAGACACAGCGACAGAGACACAGAGAAGTCAGAGCTTATGCCAGATGAAGGACAACAGCATGGGGGCAGGAAGCGCCTCGGAATGTTCCAGTAGCAGAAGGTATACAGGGAGGTTGAAGAACAGCAGAGAAACAGGTGAAAGCTCAGAGATTTCTGGGCTGTATGTGTTTTCATTTCTCTCTGTTTTATAATTTTTCTAAACTAACCATAGGCCATATTTCATTCTAAGACACCATCAATTGTAAGACTGAAAAAAGAAAAAAGAAACACTGCCAGTTAGTCCATGTCTTTCTTATTGCTTACAATTCTCATTTCATGTTTATGAAAAAGCCCTTTTAGACTTTTGGGACAGAACAAAAGGGAAAGGATGAGTGACATGAGTTGGTCAAGTCTTCCCTTTCAGGAGATCTGTGAGTTGCCACACAACACTGACCTTCGAGCCGCCAAGGGCACTGGCGAGGCTGAGTTTCTGAAGAGATCGCCATCACCGGCTCTGAGATTGCTTTCCAAGCTCCCGACCCTCCAGGTGTAGGCTGTGTTCCTCTGTCTTTCTTGATCTCGTCAGAAGGTCTCAACGGATGGTTCTGGAATAGCAATCGGGATTTGCGCTCCTTCTTCAAATGGCCCTTAAATGGTACGTGGACCGAAGCAGCCAGGGGCTGCAGGTGCAGCGGTCCAGCCACGCCACGAGGAAGACCGAGCACGTCCACGTGCACAGATAATGACAACTCCAACATGGTGCACAGTGACTGCAGGACACATCAAGAGTGAATCTGGGCGCCTGGGTGGCGCAGTCTGTTGGGCAACCGAGTCCTGGCTGAGGCTCAGGTTGTGATCTCAGAGTCTTGACATGGAGCCCCACGTCTGGCTCCGCACTGGGCGTGCAGCCTGCTTGGGATCTTTCTCTCTCCCCTCCCCTCCCCTCCCTACCACCGTTCACATGTGTTCTCGCTCTCAAAAAGTTAAACAAATAAATAGATAAAATAAAACCCAAAGAATGAAAGATCTCTTTATTTATTTTTTCTTTATTGTGCTATGCTGGTCACCATACAGTACATCGGTTAGTTTTTCATGTAGTTGTTCCATGATTCATTGTTTGCGTATAACACCCAGGGCTCCATGCAATACGTGCCCTCCTTAATACCCATCACCGGGCTAACGCATCGCCCCACATCCCTCCCCTCTAACACCCTCTGTTTGCTTCTCAGAGTCCATAGTCTCTCATGGTTAGTCTCCCCCTCCGATCTCGCCCCCTTCATTTTTCCCTTCCTTCTCCTAAAGTCGTCCACGCAATTCCTTATGTTCCACAAGTAAGTAAAACCATATGATAAGTGACTTTCTCTGCTTGACTTAAGATGTCATATTTAGGGGCGCCTGGGTGGCTTAGTCGTTAAGTGTCTGCCTTCGACTCAGGTCATGATCCCAGGGTCCTGGGATCGAGGCCCGCGTCGGGCTCCCCGCTCAGCGGGAAGCCTGCTTCTCCCTCTCCCACTCCCCCTGCTTGTGTTCCCGCTCTCACTGTCTCTGTCAAAATAAAGAAATAAAATCTTTAAAGAAGGAAAAAAAAGATCCCATATTTAGAAAGACCTTTTCTCAGGGTTTATTCAATCCAGTGTTCCCTGCAATTTTCACTTCTTTTTAGTACCCAGGTCTGACGTGCTACCTAATATTTTCTTCTAACACACCCTGTAATAAATACCTATTAAAATGTAAAACTTCTATCTGGGTGCCACCTCAAGTCATCTCCCATTCCTCCCGTGGGAAACACTGATCTGCTGCAGCCACCAGTTCATTCAAGAAGCACTGAATGACTTGGCCCCTTCGGCAGGAGCGTCCCCTGCAACGGTGGGAACTTGCTAGGAAAGGTGTGACATGCCCTCCACCGGATATTTCTCCATCAGAGGGAATGGGAAGGGGCCCTCCCCGCTCTTCCAGCCAGTGAGGGTCCAGGCTGGGGCTGCTTCATTTCACTTCTCATCAACACTCATGAGTGCTGGCTACAATGCCAGGCATTATTCCACACGCTGGACAAACAGGAACACGTACAGCCCTCAGAAGCACCCTCTGTGGAAGGCACCGCTTACAGACAGAGGTCGAGGTTGTTTCCTCAAGCTGTGCAACCTCGGAGGAAACTTAATTCCATTGCTTTGCAAACCTACTTACCCACTTGGACTTCCATCCCTCCCCCAACACTTCAGTTGCTGATATGGTGTCGGTGTGTATGTGTGTCTGCTTCTGTAGGGATACACAGTGCATGTAGATAGATAGATAGATAGATAGATAGATAGATAGATAGATAGATAGATAGATAGATAGATAGATAGATATGCGGTGCCCTGTATGTACATATATATGTACCTACAATGTATATATCTGCAATTGCAAGACTCAATCCAATACTCTCAGCATCGGTTTTCAAGTTGGGAATTTTAACTGCATGCTGCATACGGGCCTTGAAGATATGCTCTACCTCTCATTTTTAATTTTATTGTTGTTCTTTTACGTCCTCTAGTCTCAGTTTTGGGTTCCTATTTCCTGTTGCGTTTATTCTTGCTTATAAATGGAAGGCAGGAAGCAAAGTCTTACGCGCAACAGACTTTGTACCTACACAGACTTTGAGTTTGTTTCCCTTCTTGTGAGCGCTGTTGCTTTCCTCAGCAGATCCGCAAGGCCTTAAGTGTTTAATCACCTAAGAAAAACAAAACAAAAACAAAAGACAAAAAAACACGAAAAACAGGGGTGCCTAGGCGGCTCAGGCGTTTAAGTGTCTGACGCTTGATTCGGCTCAGGTCATGACCTCAGGTTCCTGAGATCGAACCCCGTGTTCAGGCTCCACGCTCAGTGCAGATTCTGCTTGTCCCTCTCCCCCTGCCCCCCTCCACTCTGTCTCGCTCTCTCAAATAAATAAATAAATAAATAAATAAATAAATAAATAAATAAATAAATAAAATCTTAAAACAAAAAAACAAAAAACAACACTGGGCCTCAATTGACTAAGACTCACAGGCTATCATTTCCTCCCAAAGGAAGCTACTGCTATTGCTTTCTGGCTTCATCGAATTGCCAGTTACTTCACAAGGATCAATAGGATCTAAAATCTACTGTCTCTACTGCAAGGAGTCCCTGAACACTGGGCAAGACATGAACGGAAAAGGAACCAACATTGACCAGAGGGTGAATAAGGAGGAGAAGCCAATCAGAAATTTCCCACGGTACAATGTCTCATATCTGACTTAAACAAAAAAGAAAAAAGAAAAAAACAGTTAATAAAGAATACACTAATAAGATACCATGGATCTGAATAATGCTAAAGTACTTTTGGAAAAAATAAAACATTTAAGAACACGTATTCTGAATATTTTCTCCCAGTCTGTCTTGCCTCTTCGTTCTCTTAGTGTATCTATTTTTCCTTTCTAATTAGAACTTTTTGTGTTCTGCATACAAAACATTTGTCTACCTCAAGGTTGTCAAGACATTTTCCCATGTTTTCATACAAAAGTTTTACGGTTCTAGCTTTTTCCTTTTTTAAGATTTATTTATTTGAGAGAGAGCGCGCCCAGGGGGGAGCAGGAGAGGGAAAGAATCTCAAGCTGACTCCTCGCTTAGCGTGGAGCCTGACACAGGGTTCACACGGAGCTCAATCTCATGACCCCGAGATCATGACCTCAGCCAAAATCAAGAGTCGGACTCAAGCGACTGAGCCACCCAGGCGCCGCTGGTTCTCGCTTTCATATTTAGGCTTATGATTCATCCCAAATTAATGTGTGTATGTCAGAATGAGGGAGGGGTCAAGGTCCGTTTTCTTTCCGCCTGAATGTCCAGGTCACACAGAATTATTCATTAAAAAGACTTCCCTTTCCACCACTGAACTGACTGGACACTCTGGGCAAAAATCAGTCGACAGTACTTGCGTTTGGTCTATTTTTTGGACTCTCTGCTCTGCTCATTGATCTCTCTTTGTGTCAAAGACTTGGATTACTGTGGCTTTGCTCTAAGTCTTAAAATTAAGCAAGAAGAAGCAGTGTAAGTTCATCAACTGTGTTCTTCTTTTGAAGACTTTTTTGGCTATTCCAGACCCTTTGCATTTCCATATACATTTTAGAATCAACTTGTTCATTTCTTCTAAAAAACATGGCTAGGATTTAACTGGGATTGCACTGTTTGCATGAATCAAGGCGTGGAGAACAGAAATCTCCAGGACATCAAATCTTCCCCGATGTATGAACAAAACAGAGCTCCCATTTATTTCAGTCTTCTTGAATTCCTCTCAACAAAGTTTTTTACTTTTCTGTGTAAAGGTGTTTCATGTCTTTCATGAGACTTATTCCCAGCCAGTTTGGGGTTGTTTTGGTTGTTGTTTTTGTTGTGTAAGTAGGCTCCACACCCAGCATGGAGCCCAGTGCAGGGCTTGAACTCACAACCCTGAGTTTAAGACCTGAGCTGAGATCAAAACACAGATGATTCATCAACTGGGCCAGCCAGTCACCCCAACCAGTTTACGTGCTTTGATGCTACTCTAAGTATTTAAAATTTTTATTTTCCTATACATGTATTTTTAAAATACATCTGTATGACAAAGAATTCCTATTCAGAATATATAATAAACTCCAATAAGTCAAAACCAAAAACAACATTAACAACAAAAACGGGCAGAAGACTTGAACGTTCGACAGGTCACAAAAGATGTCGGAATGCCCAAGAAACACACGAAAAGGTGCCTAAGATCATGCTTCACCAGGGAAATGCAATGTGAAACCATAATGAGATGCTATTTCACCCTCACTGACAACACAGAATGTTCACGAGGATGCTGAGCAACTGGAGTGTTACTGTATTGCTGGTGGGAAGTGTAAACTGATAAACCACTTTGGAAATTAGTCTAGCAGTTCAATATATCCCTTCGCTGTGACTAAGCAATTCCACTAAGCAATTTCAAGAGAAATTTAAGACTGCTCTAAGAATGTTTATTGTAGCCTATTCACAATGACCAAAAAATTGGATACAACAACATGCCTGATCATCAGATGAACAGATGAAAAAATTGTGGTATATGCACACTACATACAAAGGACCACACCATTTTACACTCACAAAGACTCTCTCCTTAAGCAAACGCTAGCCTGACTCCTCTGAGCCCTCTTCTCAAAGGGGCCTCAACCTTGGCTTATCATATGCAGACTCGCCCAAACACTAACATACTTCCTAACAACAGCTCAAGACCCCACCCCTAGGGTGACTCCAGTCACCCTTAGTCCCTACTGAGAAAACTCAAGGCATCCATGGTTTGTTCAGCCAACAATGAAAAGTCTGGCCTCTGTCTCCCAGTGAGTAAATCCAGGGGGTTTCACGTTTCCCACTTTTTGTAATCTTTTACTTCTCTGATTTAATTCACCTCTGGCATGACTCCCTCATCCTCTCTTTATAATGCCCTCGGTGGGGTGCCTGGGTGGCTCAGTTGTTCAGCCTCCGCCTTTGGCTCACGTCACGATCCCAGGGTCCTGGGATTGAGCCCCACATCGGGCTCCCTGCAGAGCAGGGAGCCTGCTTCTCCCTCCTCCCACTCCCCCTGCTTGTGTTCCCTCTCTAGCTGTCTCTCTCTCTGTGTCAAAAAATAAATAAAATCTTTAAAACATAAAATACCCTCTGTACAAATCAAGGTTGAGTTTCATTCAAGCTGGACTCTTTTCCTGACTACAATAGTCATTGCTGATTAAAATCTGTCCTTACCACTTAAAGTAGTAGGATCTGGCTTTGTGTATCTTGGATAAGTGCACACAACATGGATAAATCGCAAAGAACACACTGAGTGAAAGAAGACAAAACGATACATACTGCTTGATTCCATTTACACGACGTACAAGAAAAGGCAATTATACTCTATCATAGATCCTGAAATCAGAAAATGACCACTGGAGGTAAGGAGATTAACTAGAAAGACATACAAAGGAAACTTCTGGAGTTTCAGATACAGTTTTCGGGGATGGTGCACAGATATACAGTTGGCCCTTGATCAACCCAGGGGTTAGGGGCGCTGACCCCTGTGCAGTCCGAAATTGTCATTTAACTTTTACTCCCCAAAAACTTCCCTGCTAATTGCCTACTGACGACCAGAAGCGTTACTGATAACATAAACGGTTGATTAACATAGATTTTGTATGTTACATTTATTATACATTGTATTCCTTCAATAAAGTACACTAAAGAACATATTCAGAAAATCATACAGAAAATATGTTTACAGTACTGTATTCTATTTATCGAAAAATCTGCCTATAAGTGGACCCATGCAATTCCAACCCATGTTGTTCAAGAGTCAACTGTATACATTTCTTAATGCTCATCAAGCTGAACAATGAGACCTGAGCATTTTATTTTACAAATTATCTCCTTTTCTCCCCTGCCGTCCCACCTCTGTCACTGAAGAATACCTGGGGAGATTCTTGTCTTTGTTTCTTTTTTTAAATAGGCAACACACCCAGCACGGAGCCCAATGTGGAGCTTGAACTCACAACCCTGAGATCGAGACCTGAGCTGAGATCAACAGTCAGATGTTCAACCTGACTGAACCACCCAGGCACCCCTACCTGGGGAAATTCTAAAGGAAAGAAAAAAAGATGAGAGATGGAGCTGACCCACCAAGTTCCCCTTTCTTTCTTTCTTTCTTTTTTTTTTTTTAAAGATTTTATTTATTTACTTGACAGAGAGAGAGAGACAGCTAGAGAGGGAACACAGCAGGGGCAGTGGGAGAGGGAGAAGCAGGCTTCCCGCTGAGCAGGGAGCCCGATGCGGGGCTCGATCCCAGGACCCTGGGATCACGACCTGAGCCGAAAGCAGAGGCTTAACAACAGAGCCACCCAGGTGCCCCAATCCGAGTTCCCCTTTCAATATCCACTTACGCCTGCTTCCTTACGAAGAGGGCCCCAATTTTGTTCGAGGTATTAATCTGCCCTGTGAGAAATTCTCCCCCCCGCCACGTCCCTGCAGCTAGGGGTAGGGCCACATGACGACTTCCAGCCAATGACACGTATGTTGAAGTCTACATGGCAGGACTACCTAAAAAGCTATTGCTTTCACAGGCTTAGACACATGTTTTTTGTCAGGGTCCCTTTCTTTTCTTCCTTCCTAGAGTACAGCTGCTCAAATGAACTAAGAAAAGGGTGCTATTCAGCGGTACAAACCTATTCTTACTCTAGAAGCAAGCTATAGGCGCTCTCAATCAATTCACAACTAAGTTATATCGCAAGGCAAAATGTTCAGGCATCAAAAGGAAAAAAGCAATTCCAACTGGAAGTGAAGAACGATATACCCATGTCTGTGTCAAAGTATATATAAAAATTTAGCATTTAAGGGCTCTTTCAAATCCATGGGGGATACAGACCATCACTAGATGGTGTAGGGACAAAAGTGCTACCTTGTAACATACAAAATAATAAAGACAGATGAATGGTCTAAGCAACAGAAGCCCAAACCCTAAAAGTGCTAAAAGAAAATGCAGCGATTGAAAATGGTCTTTTGAAGCACTATCCAAAGCCACAAGCTATAAAGTTAGACTATGAGATTGGGCACCACAGAGATTCAGAATGAAATGTATCCTGAAATGTATGGTACAAGCGAAACCGAAAGACAATCGTTTGGGAGAAAATACTGCAACGAGTACAGAGGCAAAGGACTACTATCCGACCTATAAAAAGTTCCTACAAATCAATAAGAAAAATATAAATACCCAAACAAAAAGACAACAACCCAGCAGGAAAATGATAACGAGCGAGGATTCATGTAAAAAAGTATCCGTGAAAAAAGTATCAGTGACAGGGACCAACTAAAATTGCTCAGTATTACAGGTGATTATAAAAATATAAATGTAAGGGGCACTTGGCTGGCTCAATCGGTTAAGCATCTGACTCTTGATCTGGGCTCAGATCATGGTCTTAGGGTTGTGGGATCCAGCCCCATTCAGGCTCTGCACTCAGTGGGCAATCGGCTTGAGATTCTCTCTCTCCGTCTCCGTCTGCCCTTCCCCCGTGTTCGCTCTCAAATAAATCTTTAGAAATATGTTTGTATGTGTATAAATACATAGAGCTACATCTATAAATTCAAATATATATAAAATAAATACGTATTTAAATTTAAATATAAAACATACATTTATAGATAGAGAGAGAGATAAAAATTGAAAACAGGCATTATTTTTCCCCTGCCACTTGACAAAAAATTTAAAAGACTGAGAAATACTCTGTGATTAGCATCTCATTTACCATGGGTGAGAACCAAAAATGACATAACCACTCCTGAGGATCATTTTGCAGAAGTTTTTACCCTGAAATCTATCTCGAGGGAAAACTCAAACACACATGCAAAGATGTTCATCACAGCCCTATCTTAATAGCAAAATCATAGCCACCCAAATAACAAACAGAATCGTCACGTAAAGTACAACCCCACTGTGGAAAAACATTCAGACATTAAAAAACTGTAGGCATGAAAACCTGTAGGCACACTATATTCAAATGAGGCTGAGTGGGGGATATGTATTCACTTTTGTCATTTAAAAAGTTAACCCTGAAGGGGCACCTTGCTGGCTCAGTTGGAAGAGCATGTGACTCTTGATCTGGGTGTTATGAGCTCTAGCCCCAAGTTAGGTACAGAGAGATCCCTTAAAAATAAAACCTTAAAAAAAATTAACCATAAAAGAAAAATAATTCGTATTCTAGATCTGAGACCACTGTTTTTCACAGATCTTTTCAAAAATTAATTTGTTCCCTTTTGGAAAAAATGGGGGGGAGGCAGCGCAAATCCAGTAAAGCCATTATTTATTCGACTTTCTTGATGGGCAAATTTGGCAGCTAATTTATCCTTACCAGAATATTCTCATCCGCAAGTGACATGTCTTCTCTGGGGAGGAAAAGCAGCAGCCCCCACCTTCAGAATATTTCAGATCAAAATCCCAGCCCTGCACTCTGGACAGAGCCGGGAAGATGCCATCAGTGAGCTGCAAGGCCTAGGCCCTCCAGAAAATGCTGCCTCTCCCAAGAGGTGATCCTCTGACCCACTTGCACGTCGAGGGCGACGTTTTTCGACGCGGCTGACATCAGAGAAACTTCTGCAATTCTCACAATACCATTTCCGTCTTACAGCCCCTGGCCTGGTTTCTAAAACACACAGACCACTCAAAACCAGGGAAACAGAACATGGGAATTGGGAGCCCTCATCAGGAAAGAGAACCATGAGCATCTCCATTCAGTTCCTCATCACTCGGCCGGCTCAGAAATACTTACTAGGGGTCTACAAGGCTCATGGCACTGAGACACACATGGTCCCTCTCGGCACCGCTATTCCCACGGGGCAGACAAACATTAAACGAGATGTCTGCGGAGCAACGGGACTGACTGCCCCAGAGGAGATGCACAGAGAACAGATAAGGGGCTGGACCTTGTCGAGGGTGTCAGGGGCCTCCGGAGGGAGCCGCATCTCACACGAGCCAGAAGGCTGGGCACCTTCTTGGACTCATCGGCCTCACCCACATCCCATCTGTCAGTACATCCCATCAGCTCTCCCTTCAACACGTACCCAGAATCTGGATCGATTCTCAGCACTTCCACCCCTACCATCCTGATCCAAGCCAGCAGCATCTCTGACTTGGAATATTCCAGGAGCCTACTAACTCATCGCCCTGCTTCCCCCCTCGCTGTTCTCAACAGAGAAGCTGAACTCATCCCATTAAAACCCAAGTCAGGTCACCTCATTCTTCAGTTCAAAATCCCCCAGTGGCCACCATCCCAGGTCCCTAACACCCTATCTGCTACTCTTCCCCTTCTCCCTCACTCTGGCCTTGTCATTCCTGGAACAAGTCAGGCCAGCTCCCTCCACGGAGGGCTTCCTACTCGCCCTTCTCTCTGCCTGGGACACTGTTCCCACAGACATGCACAGGGCCCACTCCCTCAACCTCCTGCAAGGCTTTCCCCACTCTTGTCCTCAGGGGACCGTCCCTGGCCATCCCAGCTCAGAGGACAACCCCTTCCAACGCTCCTACAGCATCCAGGACCCCTGATGTGCCAGATTCCTTGCCTCTGTGTTTCCTGGCTGCTTCTCTCCCTGGAAGAAAGGCTTCCTAACAGCTCCACCGAGGTCTGTCTGGGTCACATCGGGAAGCGCACAAGAACCGAGCCTCTGGCAACTGAGAAGGCGTTCAATAAAGAATGTGCAGTGACTGCTGCAGTCATCTGAGGGAAGATGAGAGCTCGTGAGGCAAGGCGGGTGGGGGAAAGAGCATCTTGGGCAGAGGGAGCAGCCGAGCCGCCCCAAGGCCGGCGGGCACAGGGCACATTGGAAGGAATGACCGGATCGAGTACAGCAGGGAAGGCGAGCGGGAAGCAAGACTGGAGAAGAAGGACGGAGCAGCCGTGCACACACAGAAGGAACGTTTGGGTCTATCTCGAACGGCAACAAGAAGCCAGGAAACTAGGCAGTGACATGAACGAATGGGCCTTCCACAAACCTCTGGCTTCAGGGGGAGATAGGGATTTGGAGGCGGTAGAAGCGCCTGGAAGCTCAGTAAGCAGACTAGAACCATGGCGCAGACCACAAATGACCTTAACTCGGAATGAGAGGGCAAAAGCAGAGGTGGAGAAAAGGAGGTAGATTCCAGAGATGTTTAGCAGATAAAATCACAGGTCTGGGAGAATGATCACACAAGGGGGTAAGGAAGTAAAAGCAGAGTTCCAAGAGGACTCCTCCCTTTTGCACGTGGGAACTGAAGGACACAGTGGCCCGATTCACGGAGTTGGGGGGGGCTGGGGGTGGCGAGGAGGAGAATACAGGAAGGGGATCTTGAGAAGTTTTGGAAAGAATGGATTTGCCATAATTCAGAGACATTGATATACAGATTTCCAGTTGGCAGCGGGAGACCCAGGGAACCGTGAGAGGATCAGGAAAAGCAAAGTGAGTCGCCACACAGTACAGATTCTCACCTTGTGGCTGATGGGGAATCAAAAGGTTTCAAGGAACGCAGTAACAGGAGAAGATGTGGGATTCCAAGAAGATCACCCTGGCCAGAGCAGGAGCACGTGGATGGGAGAGGGAGCTGGATGAGAAGCAGGCAGAACAAGAGGGACCTGCTGCAACAGAGCAGGTAGGAGAAGGGACCGGAGCCAGGGCTGTGGCCACAGGGAAGGAAAGGGGAACAGACCTGCTCTTTGTCAGCAGTGCATCTCCCACGGGGCTCCTGGGGACCGTCCGAAAACCCGGAGCACGTCAGCTCCCCCACTTGACCCCTTGGTCCTCGCACGAGTCATTCTCTGACAACCTCCCCAGAATTCTCTCTTGCTCCCCGCTCCCTGGCCCAATGTCAGGTGCCGATGACACAGCCCTGGGCTTCCACGGCCAGGCTAGTTTCTTCTGCCCTGCAAACACCTATTTGTCTTTTGAAGGCTTCCCCCCTCCACTGGCAAAGAAGCAAGAGCAGTGCTGACATCGAGGAGGCGGCCTGGCACCATGAGCCGGGCTGCACGGCTGGTCGCCGCGGGCCTGGCGCTCCAGGAGACGCCACGTGCTTCTCCGGTTGCACGCAAATGACCTCGCAGAACAGCAGCTTGAGGTGCCGTGGCCCCGGTGATGAAGGGACACCAAAGAGGACCCCTTGCTCTTTTGTCCAAACAGACAAAAACCAGCTTGTCGTGCCCACCCCCAAATGCCAATCCTCCTCTCTCCCGCCTGATACCAGCGAGTGTCTTCCTTGTGAATGACACCGTCCGTCACGCTCTTCACACCTCCTTCTAGAAAACACTGATGGAGCTACCCGATCCCAGAACTGTCTCGCCTCGCCTCGCCTCAGCACCCAGACCAGAGCACACCCCTGCTTCCTTGAACACTCCCAAAAACATCCGCCCAAAGCCCAAATCCTGTAAGTTCTTTCTAACACCCTCTTTCTTACGGATCAGCCCCACAGTCCCCATGACGTGGGTTCCCCCTCAGGATGAGTAACGAAGCCACTGTGTTTAACGACAGCTGTGCTTCCAGTGGCCTTTGTGGAGGATGCTGACCACCGTCACGGGAGGAAGGGATGGTTCCCTTTCCTGGAGGGAATCCTAGGTGTCCTGGGAGGCTAACTGGCTTTCTTAGTGCGATTTTAGGGGCTTTATGGCTGTAACCTAGGGCAGCAGGAACCAGCCTAACCCACAGCTAGGACATAGCTGGAACCAAATAATATTCAGAATGGAGGGAAATCAAGGGGCGCCTCGGTGGCCCAGTTGGTTCAGCGTCCGACTCCTGATTTCACATCAGGTCATGATCTGAGGGTGCCGAGACTGAGCTCCAAGTTGGGTTCCACACTCAGTGTGGATTCTGCTGGAGATTCTTTCCCCCCCCCTTTCCCTCCTCTTCTGGCCCCACGCCAGGGGCATGCACTCTCTCTCTCTCTCTCTCTAAGATAAAGAAGTAAATAAAATCTGTATTTAAATAAATAAATAATGGAGGGAAAGCAAAAGAAGTAAGAATTATTTATGGAAGGCTTCACTCTGTGTCAGACCCGGTGCTAACTGCCTTGGATCTATTGCTCATTTAATCCTTACATCCCAAAGGTGGGCTACCATTTTTATCCCCATTCCAAACACAGGACTGAGGCACAAAGTGATCTGCCCACGATTCACGCAAGGAATCTCTACGTTATTAATCACATGACTTTCTGACAAAGTTTAAGGGTTTAACACACTACAGTGAAGATGCACATCACGGTATCACAGAACTTGGAAGGACAGAGCCCTGCAAAATGTCCTCAAACGTTAACTTATGGATTCTCCCAATCTTCTTGCATGTTGTTCAGATAAAGGAAAGCCCGGTGCTAAAAAGGCTTTCATGAAATGCAACCAGATGACAAATATACGTGGTCTTTAGAGCCCCGGGCCCATCCCAGAAGACTCTGACTCAGTGAGTGTAGAGGAGGACGTGAACATCTCTGTTTTCTTTAAATAGCCCCACAGGCTCTGCTGATGTGCACTCTGGGCTGGGTACCACTGTACTCTCTGCAATTCCAAACCCAAACTTGCCCTACAATGTTTAGATGGCTGCAGACACAGGGGGGCATCGAAAACTGAGGCAAAGAAGAACAGAGAAATTACAAAAACTATCCCCTAGAGAGTCAAGAAAAGGAAAGCTCTAGTTATATTACTTCTCTGTCCTTTGGCTGTGTCTGAATTACTCTACAGTTAACTTACTTTGTTTTAAGTAGGCAAGTTTGCTAAAACGTTTACCAACAAATACTAAATAATCAAGACTACCAATACATTTTAAATAAAATTATACTATGCTACTGAAAAGTATTTTCTGATTATTTCAATGGCACTTCAGAGTCTCTTAGCAAGTAGCAGTCGATATGCGAACATTATTTCTAATTCAACAGTTCTACACATGTGGTCAACAGCACCTGAACACTGGAGAAGAAATGAAGTTGGCTGGAAGGCTTTTAGCTTCACAAATTTCACCACACACTACCGTCAAGTCTTCAATACCAATGTATGTATTTACCTCTTTATTTAATCAACCACCACTAACACCCACTACATGTCAGACAGGGCTCTACGTGTTTCATTAACGTTAAATATCATTTATCTTTACAATCATCTAAGAAGTGGGATTATCATCATCTCCATTTCTCACATCAGGAAACTGAGACCCAGAAT